TAATACTTTTAATGAAATATATTTCTTATATCTTAGCTTATTTACCAGTCAGTCATCCCCCCTCGACCGTTACCAACCCCCACAGCAATCAGTTAGTTACAGTTACAATTTTAACCCTAATGTATCTTGTATCCAAATAATTGTATAATATTAATAATATATAAATATATAATAATGTAAAATAAGCGAACATATAATTTGAGTATTGCAACATGTAAATAAATAAGTTTGTAAAACACTTTTAGCGTTGTGTTTGAGAAACCAGTAATGAAATATCTCTTATCCCCGAAGGGGTAGGCAGAGGTGCACATTACAGCACTTAATGCCACTGTACAATGCAACACCCATTTTTCACTATTTATGTTACGAGTCCCATGTAATAGTGTGTGAGCCTATTGCCATATACCGGGCACAATTCCAGATTCCGTGCTACTACTGAGAATTTTGAAAAAAAGCTGTACAATTTAACGTATTGTACACATTCGATCTTCGATTAAACTGTCAAACACCAAGCGGTCACCGGTGACCGCGACCTATTGTTCTAATTGTGTCTATAAAACCGGTACTCGACGAGTTAAATTAATCCATTTTGCTCAATGCAACTTTGGCCAGCTACAATCCATATTTCTTTTAAATCTCAATCACAAAGCTAAAAGTGTAACACATGAGGCCTAATATTTTATCTCTAATCTCAAATAAGTACGTAGTTTGATTTGTTTAACTATTGAGCGCACAATTCGTTACTCTTGTTAAAAAAGGAATGTTGTTAATATGACCAGCGTAAAAAAGCGACGGGGTTCCTATTAAAATTAAATTAATAAATTAATGTAGCGAAAAATCGAGGTTATCATTGTATAAAAATTGTATATAAATTAGCCTCTAAGTATATAAAAAAGCGATAAAATAAAATTATTCATATATTTCGTATAAAAAACGCTTAGAACCCCGTCGCTTCGTTCAACACGTGATCGCGAAAAGGTTATAAAAAAAATCTTGAACAAAACGTTTCACATGATTTCGTTAATTATCATTTTCATCCAATTTTCTTTTTAAACTTTCTGTAAAAATTAAAAAATATAAAATAAAAATAAAATTGACGTTTACAAAACCATTTGCTTGTAAAATAATTATCCTGTCATCGCTTGATAAGGCTAATTAATTGTGTTTTTAAGGAAAACATTTCATTTTTTGTACTTCTTGAACAGCTCAAGTACATTTCTTACCAGCGCGCAGTACATAATTAATTTACAAGCAAATATAATAAAAAACAAAATACATAATACTTGACGAACACTACCCAACTAAATACATAAAATTACGCTAAATTTGGTGCGCTAACTAAAACACTCGTGACATATAAATGCTATCATGAAGTTATACTTAGTTTTACTGTAAAATAAATTATAACAACACGAAAATACTTGTATAACAGTATAGACAAAGATATCGATACTAACGGCCGAAATCAATAATAGGGTAGTTTCCTAAATTTTACTTTAATGTCCGTCTGGTAGATTATTTTAAAACTTTAGACACGTATTTTTTCTTTTCTCACAAAATTAAATACTTTTGACGATATATTCATTTAAAATATCGTGTGACGTCACAGCGTGCCATATTTTGTAGCACGTTATGACGTAACGACCTCCTAAACTTAACGCCAATTTATCTAAGTATTGAAACTTATTACGAGAAAATAAAAAATACGTGTTTAATATTTTTTCATTGTCTAACTGACGGACTAATTAGATATTTAATTTTGATATCCTGGAAACTACCCAATTGATCTCAATAAAGTCACACTTGCGACCACTGTGCCAACGAAACATACTTAACAAAATTTTGTGTTTATTTAATTTACAGTAAAAATAGATACAACAATGATTCCTGGAGATTACAAACTCTAGTCAAAGACAAAAATGCAAATACATTGAGCTGAGTTCACAGTCGTAAGGCGAAATTTTCGAAAACAACTAAAGAGTGAAATATAATTAAAAATTTCGTTTTTAAATTATCGTTGAATAACAGTTTAGTTAAAAGCGTTTATTAATAAAAAGGTTTAAATTAACCAAGTTTTTGGACGCACTAATTTTGCATATCAACTAAAATCGTTGCTGTCTCTAACATAACATCATGCCTTTTACCCCCAAAGGGGTAGGCAGAGGTGCACATTACGGCACTTGCAATGTAACACCCACTTTTCACTATTTATGTTATAAGTCCCATGTAATAGGGGGTGAGCCTATTACCATATACCGGGCACGATTCCAGACATGTGCAATTACTAAGATTTATTTAAAAATCCCAGCAATACTTTGCCCGACCCGAGAATCGAACCTGAGACCCCATGCCTGGCAGTGGCACTTGCGACCACTCGGTCAACGAGGCAGTCTCTAACAGTTCATAATGAAATAACGACTAAATACTGAAATACTAGTAAATTTCAAGTTGTACTGAAATATCGTGCCAGCTCTGTCATTTGACACAGTTCCTTTAGAGCGTCTTAAAATTGAGTGGCTATTAAGTATTTAACTATAAGTTGCCAGGTTTTTTTTTTGTTTTAAAATGGGACAAGCCCTCCACAACCTCCCAAGCCCGCTGCAACTCCTGTAAGCCAGGATCTACAGTGGATACAACCATGAAAACACCGGAACACTGAAGTCCGGCGAAGAGTAGCCAGGTTATAAATATGCCACCGTGCATTGCACAGAGGCTCTAGGGACGTGTAGGTCTCTATAGGAAGGCGCCGTAATAGGCCTTGCTGTGGAGGCTCCAGGGATGGTCTACTAAGAGGACCCGGTGCCTTCAGTGCTTTTGGTGGCCACCGGGGAGGTTTTTAGTAAGGTAGAAATCTCACACACCCTAGTCTTTTTCTCCAAAAAGCTAGGTGCCTTTTGAAGGTTTCCTCCCGTCAACACAAAAGGTTTTAGTTTGAAGATTATGGCAAATACTCTTATGTAGAGGAGGCTCATAGTTCAGCAGCAGACTATAGATGATGCATTTTTTTTTAAGTGGGGAAAAACATCGAATGACTGCTCCCGCCTGGGTGAGGCGGGAGGTAGTGTGAGACTTTTACTGACTAAAAACCACCCCGTTCCTTTTCCTTCGCTTCATGCCGGAGCCCCGGTAACCCGTTACGTTCTCCGCGACTATAGCATAGATGATGCATAGATTTAAGTTGACATACAAAAATAGTGCATTAATAAATGCTTGGTTTTCACAAACGACATTACGTTTATAACATAGATTTAGATTCAAACAAGAATTGGAACAATCATTTTGAACATTATAGTAATTAGTAACATAGTTTAGGAATTCAATGAATCAACAAAATACATGATGGAGGCTTAATAAGGAAGACTAATAAAGGAGAATGAATTTTAATTACTTCTGATAAGTTACTGTTAATTTTAAATTGATATTTAACTTATTTTAGAATAGGCGTAAGTACAGGCGTTTACCAGCCAATATATGACTTGAATCGAGAATCAAATCTTACACCACAAGTCACCCTTGGGTGCGATTCTTCACATTGAGGTAACGCATTGGGCCAATGTGTAGTGGCCTACGTGGCTATATTCGTAGTTGGCGCCAGCATAGGCCGGCCAACCGAATGTTGTCGGCTTTTCGTGCGCATATCAAAGGATCTTAGCGCGCTCTACAAATGGCGTTGAAACATTTATTCAGTATAACTAAAATCGCGGGTTACTCGCGTGAATATACTCGCGCGTATACGTGCGCGGTCGCGGCAACGTACGCTCATGAAGAAACTAGTAGAGCTTTTCTCAGTATATTCCCGTGAGTAACCCGCGATTTTAGTTAATTTAGGATGTCTCAAGATAGTTTTTATTCGGTTTGTTGTCATTCGTCAGTTAAGATGGTACTGTCGTGCATGAGTTGTTGTTCCCGAATTACAATGGCATGGACAAACACTGAGAGAGAGATTGTACAGAGAGGGCATTTACAATTCTCTATATTGGCCTAATATGAAGAGTTGCCTTTACATATTCCCAAAAAAGTTAGGCAAACGTCCACATATCAAATGTAACATTTACTTTTCGCGACTTATTTTAGGCGACCCATGTAATAGGGGTGAGCCTGTTGCGACATACCTATTTTTTATTGTAAATGGGTCGATTTTGTCTACTATCTCGCTTTGTGGTAAACGACTACGATGGAGCATGTCTGCCCAGAAGAAACGTATTTACTCGGGCCTTGAAGATAACAAGGTTATCCGGAAAAACAGACTTAGGCAAGATACTGAGTCTAAAATGAGTTAAATATCAATTCATTCTAATTAGCAATATAATATTGGTATGAATGGAGCGACTACATACAAAACTTACTATTTTATACTTTCATATGATACTGTTATAGGCCGGCCGCGGATTCAGACGCCAGTGTTGCCATACTTGTTAATAGTGTTGCCAGAATTTCAAGTAATTGGTAGAATGGTAGATCTTTTCGGCTATGCGTAATGTGTTATTCCGAGCATATATTTGGAAACCTAATTTGTGTAACAATTTCATTCTTTAATTTTAAGTCCCCGGTAACATTTTTAACAAAGACGGCAACAACAAAAATCGATGTTTTGAACTTTCAAAGCTTATCAAATACGTTTACTTAAAGTATTTTAAGCTCATAACAATCCCTTCGTTTTTCCAAGATATATCAGAAATGCCTTCAACAACTTACGACTTACTTTGACCTCTATAAGATTACGATTAGGCCTTTGCCCTTAGAACAGTAATTACGACTTCTAAGGCCCTGAAAATCTAAATTTGGCTTTACCAAAGACTATATTTTTGTGGCCGATGTTATTTAAAATAAGCTAAATTTATAATGTTTTATAATGTCCTAATCCACTAATATTTGTGTCTGAACTACCATTTTAATTAATCTTAATAAAGACATGGCAATGGTCAAGTTGTCAGTTGTTGGCTGGGAATGTATCGAGCTGGTAAATGAACCCGCGGCGGGCGGTGTGTGTACTACGCACTCTAGTCGGCTTTCCTTGGCCTTCGCTTGCGAACCTCGGGTCGGTCTACTGGGTCCGCTGCCTTCGTATCGCCACCGCCTTCTGTTTCTTTCTCCTTTTCCTCGTCTGATGACTGAAAAAATAAAATTAGAACATTATGTTGTATGTATTTTATTTGGAAGAAATCCGCCACAAGCTCATTTGCGCTGCGACGCACCATAGGCTATTTTTTGAGTTTCTAAATTCTTGTTGTGTGTCGTAGCAAAATAAATGGTTTCTTTCTTTCTTTCTTTCACAACCTCCCCCTGAAAAGCTGTAAGCCAGGATCTATAGTAAATACAACCACGAAAACATCAGAACATTGAAGTCCGGCGCGTCTCAGGGACATGCATGGACTGTCTTGGATCCCGCAACGAAAAAAAGAAGATATTATAAGAAGAAAAAATGTATGTATGTTCGCCTATAAGCCTCGTATTGTAACTGCCATTTCCGAAGGGGTTTTTTTAAGGGGAGAAAAATCATCGAATGACTGCTCCCGCCTATAGTGAGACTAAAAACCACCCCGTTCCTTCTCCTGCACTTCGAGCCGGAGCCCCGGTAACCTGTTAGGTTCTTTTCCGAAGGGTTAGACCTCTGTTTTCGGAAGTTACAGAGTTACACAATCATGTACAATGTAACTCCTATATTTTATCAGTTGCGTTAGTCCTGTGCTGTATGTCCTAGGAGGTAAACTTAATATACCAAATTCCATGGTGTCACAGCGAAATTCGAATTTCAAAAAACCGAAAAATTGACATTATTGTGGACTTTTTGGGTAAATATTTTAATAGAAAAGCGAATTAACTATTCTGTTCAATATACATCACACATGTAAAATATACGTCACAGGAAAAATATCCAATCGGTGCGCGTTTCTCGTACACCCGTGTGTACAATTGCACGATGGGCACTCAACTCTCTACACGCGAGAGGTTAAGTTACTATTTGCAAACCACAGACAACATTATGTAATGTGACATTCATCAAAACCTGTCACTCTCTTCACTTGCATTGTCTATGTCTCTCTCTTGTACTTCCGCCTTGTTCCATGAATATATAGTATTGTCGCTCAGTTGTGCATTTTTATTTGAATAAAGTTTATATAGTTCAGGAATAACCCTTTAATTAATCACTTTCGCTCAACCTGTGACCATTACACCAAATCCTTACTTACATTATAAATCGGAAAGTGAGTTTGTTTGTTTGTTCCGCCTTCACGACGTAACTACTGAACCGATTGCTTTGAAATTTTGCAGAGGTAAAGTTAGAAGTCTGGATTAAATAATAGGGTACATTTTATCCCGGAAAAATTTGATATTCCCGAGGGAAAACAAAAGTATTGGTATAGATGGCGCTGTGTGTATTGGTATATGTCACATAGGCTACTTTTTATCCTTTTGTGACGCGAGCGAAGCCGCAGGTAAAAGATAGTTTGTAATAAAGGAATGACATGGTACTCACATCACTGGGTGAGTTCTTCTCAGCATCACTGTTGTTCGCGTTCTCATCATCATCCACTATATCATCGTTGATCAGCTCCTGAAGATAAAAGATGAGACTATTATTTCACAGGATTTTTAACGTTGAAATGTCACAATACTAATTTTAATAAAAACAAGATATCGTCACCTAGTAACACTCATTTCTGGATCACAGAAAGAGTTGTTTCATAAGAGAATCGAACCCACGATAAGTTGCGCTACAGGAGGTTGGTCTTACTATATTTATTATTAGACTGTACAAAATGACATAGCATAACATCACGCCTTTTTATCCCTGAAGGGGTAGGCAGAGGTGCACATTACGGTACTTAATTAGTTTCGTTTATTATTCTAATTATATTATTTTGTTATGTTTTAATGATTTTTGTTCATTTCTTTTCTCTTATATTAAACCTATTATTAATGTTTTGTTTTTATTTTTACTGTATTTTTTATTTGTATTGTAATGATCCTTGTTTTCGTGTGCCAATGGCCAAATAAATGCATTTTCTTTCTCTCTTTCTTCTTTCTAATGCCACTGTACAATGTAACACCCACTTTTTACTATTCATGTTATGAGTCCCATGTAATAGGGGGTGAGCCTATTGCCAATACCGGGCACCCTGTAGAAAATGTTTAGATTATTAATATTACCTGGTCATCATCAGACTTCTCCTTAGCGTCCTGGTCTCCTCGTGCGCGCTTGTCGAGCTCCTTCTGTGAGATGAACACCTTGTCCGAGCGACGCGGCGGGTATAGCAGGTCTATTATGCATACTAGGACCTGGAAAACGTATAACACTATTATAAAATCTATTTTCAAAAGTTTTCGTTTGAATTTTGGCGATGACCATTTTAGGTGAATCATTTTAGAACAATTTATTAAGAACTAGCGACCCGCCCCGGCTTCGCATGGGTGCGATATGCGTGTATTATACATATAAAGCTCCCTTAAGAATCACTCTATCTATTAAAAAATCATCAAAATCCGTTGCGTATTTTTTAAAATACGCAACGGATTTTGATGATTTTTAGATTTAAGCATACATAGGGATAGACAGACGGCGGATAGCGACTTTGTTTTATACTATATAGTGATAATATTATGCTGGCCAAAAATTGATAATCGTATTTTCTGAATATATGACCATAATTAACCCGGGGTCTGGTAGTTCGGCGGTGTTTAACCCCTGTGCCTTAGAAAGCACTTAAAACCATAGGTTTGGCCTGACCTTCTGGTCGTGTCGGTCTGCCGTCCCAGGTTCGGAGAGTGAGGGAACAGAGTGCACCTGTGTTTGCGCAGACTCGCTTGTGTACTATAATATCCCCTGCGTATTATACTGTCATGGTGACCCGGAGGTTTAAAACGCTCGCTTCTCATGTATTTCTAAGATTATCTAGACACCACTGACATACGGTGAAGGATAACATCGTGAGGAAACTTGGGCTTATAATTTCCTCAAGCATTGAGCAAGCGTGGTGCTTAATGCTCAAACCTTCTCCGTGTGAGAAGAGGCTTTGGTCAGCCCTGGGCATTTACAGACTGTTGATGCATTATACTAGTCTAGTCAGACTGGCCGCCGGTCGGTCGTATCGTTTGGGAGATTTTATTTATTTCTTATACTGACCAGTCCAAGCAGTGCTCCGATGAATATGGTTGCCAGTGCAAAGATCAGGTAGGAACCCCATGTCGGTAGGCCGTACGTCTCCATCAACATAGTGTGCACACTCTGAAATAAGGAAACGAAAATAATTAATATCAATCAAATAAACTGTCAAACACCGCGAGGACTCCGGTGACCGCAACCTATTGTTCTTTAATTGTGTCTATAATGACGGTACTCAAAGGGTACTTAAAAATCGAAGAACCCCTCTGTGGTTCGAAACTAGTAGAGCTTTAGTAGTATTTTCACGTGAGTAACCCGCGATATTTAGTTAACTTGTATGTCTAACGATAGAAATATCAATCAATATATTTAAAGTTAATATTTTCACTGCATATTAGAAAAAAGCATACAAAATTCAATATTCATCAGTACGAAAGACGCGATTTACGTATGTCATTTTAAGTTATTGTAAAGAGATATAGAGGCTACAATGATTTAATTTAAAAATCACACATCACACATTTTCTTTCGACATTCCCACAGGGTCAGGACCCACTCGAGAGAAACCTTCTTAACATCAGAAGGGCGAAGTAGCAGAGAGAAACAGTAAACGAATAAATTGAAAGAACTTACCCTAAGTGCCTGACTAAGTTTAAAGAATTCAGCGACGAGTGTCATCTGAATCGAGTGTGGCGCCTTCCACGCTGGTACAGGGTCGGTCTGCTTCCAGCGCTGGTCCTCCACGTAGCCAAGCATGGATTCCACGTCGCGTGGGCCTTTGTATTGACGGAATTCGCCGTCGATTACACTGGAAGAGAGGTTTTTGAGGATTAGTATTGGATTATGTGGTGTTATTAATTTTATTTCTAAGTTTAAGTGTGGGAGAGGCATGCTTCGGCACGAATGGGCCGGCTCGACCGGAGTGATACCGCGGCCGAGCAGAAAACCGACGTGAAACAAGACTTGCGTTGTTTTGTCGTGTGTGCGAGGTTACCGGAGGTCCAATTACCCCTCCCCGCCCAAACCCTAAATTCCAAGAATCCTCAAATTCGAAATCCCCAAAAGGCCGGTATCACACTTGTATCGCCTCTGGTGTTTTTTTGGAATTAAGAATCATAGGTACGTCTAATTAAATTAAGATTTTGAAAACAACGAAGGCATTCGACTTTTACAACTTACTAAGTATCGAACATTTATTTCAAATGATAATTTAATTTCAATTTCTAAGCCCCCATAACAATTAGACATAAAGGCAAGAAGACTATAACATTATTTAAAATAATTTGTTTTACTCACTGGAAAATAGTAGGCAGCGCAGTGACGACAAATCTACCGCTCAGTCCAGGCGACTTGGTGACGTCGACGGCAGCTGTCCTGACGCCCAGAGCCTTGCGAGTCGCGCGGGTGGACAGCTCGCGCCATGCCGGGGCGAGGGCGTTGCAGGCGGGGCACCATGGTGCGTAGCTGAAAAGTAGAAAATACGGTGAAATTATTGTGATGGCCTGGGGGCTTACTCTTGAATCCAATTCCGATCGATCGACATTGGTATTGGGAATGTTCGTACTTTTGAGCTGAAACACAAGCGCCCACATACACACATACATAACATCACGCCTTTTATCAGCGAAGGAGTAGGCATAGACACTAGCGCCAATTGTATCCGTATTACGTGGATATTGCATGAACTAAATGGTATTGAGTTTGGTTTTATATTCCGTACTCTGAATTCTATTTCAACTATGATTATAGTTGTATAGTTTTGACATTGAGTAATTATTGAGATTTTATTGGATTGAAACTGCATTGACATGGAGATTGGTTACTCTTGCTTACAAGAGTAACCAATCTCTCAGGTCAGGCTCAGGTCTGCTAATGGAAGGAGGTCTTTGCTAGTCTTTCAGCATGATGTTAGTATATCAGAAACAGGTCAAGACCCTTTATTTCTATAATTATACTCTTTATAGCGAATTTCCTTTTCATTTATTACTAAGTTTTTTAGATTATACCATTGAACTATTCTTATTATATCTGTTACTGCAGACCAACTTTGCCCTGATGCTGTTCTTAAAACTTAATGAATTTATAACGATCTTCTTCCACATTTCTTTTATGGCATAAGCCGGTAAACAGCAGACGGATCACCTGATGGTAAGCAATCGGCGTCGCCCATGGCCACCTGGAACACCAGAGGCGTTACAAGTGCTTTACCGGCCTTTTGGGGATTAGGAGTTTGAGTATCGTTGGGGATTCAGGAATTGGGGAAGGGGAAGCTAATTGGGCCTGCGGTAACCTCACTCACACGACGAAACACAACGCAAGCGTTGCTTCACGTCGGTTTTCTGTGAGGCCGTGGTATCACTCCGGTCGAGCCGGCCCATTCGTGCCGAAGCATGGCTCTCCCACACCCACATAATCGTGCCTTGACAATAACTAACCACTTTATAAAAAGAATCATCCAATTTGGTACAATCGAGAGGTATTTCAGCTAAATAGCCATAAATTCGATAATGTCACAATAAAATGTACTAAGGAAGTGATTTCCATTCTTGTGTGTTAAAAGCGTACGTGTATTAGCATAGCGATCGGATACTGACATACAATCAAATGAAACAATTTAAATAGTTGGAACACAGCCAGGGTGGAGAACGATGTTCTTTTATACTAGTTCTTGATCGCGACTTCATACATGCATAACTTCACGCCTGTCTCTCATGGGGGTAGGCAGAGACTATGGTACGCCAATTACTACGTTTTCTATATACCTCTTTCGCTTCGTTGATCGATTGATTGATCGTTCGTTAATCGCGACTTCACTCGTAAGGAAATGATAATTTAACTACCTATGAGATACCTATAAAAATACCGTAGTCCCATTCGTGTATATACATTAATAAAAATATCTAGATATTATACATACATACATAACTTCACGCCTGTCTCGCATGGGGGTAGGCAGAGACTATGGAACGCCAATTACTACGATTCCTACATACTGCTTCATAAACAGACATCAATTTATACATCACTACATAAATAATGGTTTGTATTATAGGATTTTATAGATTTCTCGCAGTTATTCGTTTTATCTTTCTTCAGTCCTGGAAAGACAGGAGACACTTTTTTATACTAGATAGATAGATTGACGTTTGACCACCATCTTGCCTGATGGTAAGCGATGATGTGGCCGACGATGGAGCACGCCTACCTATGAGCAACCTGTTCACTCGGGACTTGAAGATACCCAAGCTGTATTCGTCGGGAAATACAGATTCCGGCAAGGAATTCCATGTTTGTGTAAGCTTAACGCAAAATAATTATTACGTAAGTTTGACGCATAATAATTAGTAAGCCTAGTTCTGTTTGGACTTATCCTTACTTATTCCTTACTTATATTATAAATAGGAAAGTGAGTTTGTTCCACTTTAACGCCGTAACTACTAAACCGATTGCTTTGAATTTTTGCAGATGTATAGTTAGAAGTCCGGATTAAATAATAGGGTACTTTTTATCCCGGAAAAATTTGATATTCCCGAGGGAAAACAAAAGTATTGGTATAGATGGCGCTGTGTGTATTGGTATATGTCATATTGGGTTTTTATCCTTTTGTGACGCGAGCGAAGCCGCGGGTAAAAGCTAGTAAAGAAAAAAACGGTTTTATTAAAAACATTAGCTTAGGCTTTAGATAGATACTTAAGTCATAGATTCTATCTGAAAGCATACACAACCTTTTAGGTGTAAAGGTCATGACAGAACTAAGGTCAGGCCCGTCCCAGCATAACTTCGATCAATATGTCTACAATATGTATGAATAAACTGTAGTGCAATCAGAGTTGGGCAAATTGTAATCAGATTAATGATTAAGGATTACGATTACATTTTGTAATCGTCAATCAACGGTCAGATTACATCATACGGAAATATTACAGATTACGGAAATTAATCAAGAAAGTAATCATATCAGTGATTAATGATTATTAGTTTGTAATCGTAATTTTGATTACTTTTTTGATTGATGCATACTAACTACATTTAGGAATTCGAAAAATAAAATCCTGTGAAATCGTTCGATCAGTAGCTGTACATCACTAGTACTACCATATCTAATATTTGGTTGCAGTTGGTTGGATGTTCTAGTAGACCGTTTATTTTTTTTCATAGTTTTCAAGTAACTCTGATACTCGTTGTGTGTTTCTTCCCCGTGTCTTCGTTTGAGATGAGTTACAAAATTTGATGTAGAATTATTAAACCACTAATTTTAACTAGTTTTGGCCGACATAATGTACAAATTGCCACTTTCTTTTTGTTCGTAGACTCCGATTCTGAATATGTAAAAATTTTTCCATCAAGTAAAAAACATCCATGACATCCCAATTGGATCAGAAGTTTTTAGAAAAACTCAGACATACAAGATACATACTGATTGAATATAGAACCGCATTTATTAAAAATATGTTTAAAAAATTAATCAAATCTACCAATGTAATTAAGATTACTGATTATTGTAATCAAAACTAATGATTACAAATGTAGTCATGATTGAAAGTAATCAAGATTAAAAGTAATCATGATTGATGTAATCATGATTACTTTCAATCAGATTATTAATCCGATTACAAAAGTAGTTGATTACGCCCAACTCTGAATGCAATCTATGTAAACAAGTAAATGTTCCTATAGTTTCTGTTTCTTTGATGTAAAGGAAACGTGGACAAGTATTGATGATACAGTTTTCATTCTCGTCAGTTTGGACTTCTACAAATTGTATTTTTCGTACTATATCATGAAGATAGTTGATATAAAAACATGAAGATTTACGATAGCTTTCGTTCAGGATTTTAGTAGCATGAAAGTGTGTATGAATGAATCAAGGTTCCACTTAGATAACTACTTCTAGGCCAAGTTTCACTTATTTCTGTGGCAAAAATTCATCAATCTCGGTCGAGGTCGAGATGTTTAGACGTAAAACTACGATAGATACTCTTCATGCGTAATTTATTTAAAGTAAGAGTATAAGGTACACTTGCTTTTTTTTAAGAGGGGAAAATCATCCAATGTTGCCTCCCGTCTAAGTGAGGCGCGAGCGTGTCAGACGCTTACTGACTAAAAACCATCCCGTTCTTACTCCTGGACTTCGAGCCGGAGCCCCAGCAATCTGTTAAGTCCTATTGGGCCCCATCTGTGGTGATATGATGGCTAAGGTACACTTGCTTAGGTTTCCAAATCATCAAAAGAGGTAATAACCTGGTAAAACGAACCAAACGATACTGTAAGCAGTTTTTGGTTATTCTTACACGGTATTGAAGTACCTACTGTCAGTAGTCATTGAATTACAGTAAACAGGTACAGGAAGTTTGCGCACTGACAAAACATCTGCAGACATTACAAACACAAATGACATCATTCTATACACGTTACATTTAAAAATGGCTCTTTTTTATTAACCTTACTGTTCTTTTTTTAATTTTTTTTTTATTTTAATATTTGTGTCTGTGTATTTGATGCATCATGCCAAATAAATATTTTTTCTTTTTTTTTTAATGTAATAAGTATAGATATGTATTGCCTAAGTAACGCCTACTGTTTTTTTTATATTTTTAAATTTGATGGGTCGACGTTTGACCACTCCTGTATCAGTTAGGTATGTTCTTGTCAGATTGTAATAATAGGGCAAGCTTTTTAGCTAAACTAATGTGTAATAAATTAGTATTTGTTCAAACAATGTCTTGTGAATGATGTGATCTTTTTATGGTACAGGGCGGCAAACGAGTACTAAACACTTGATAGTAAGCAATCGGCGCCGAACACGGATACTCGCAAACTAGGAGAGTTAAAAGTATCCGCGGAGGACTTAACGGGTCGCCAGAGCCCCGGCTCGAAGTGCAGGAGTAGGAATGGGGTGGTTTTTAGTCAGTAAGAGACCCCTCTCGTCTCACCCAGGCGGGAGAAGTCTTTGTATAATTTAGCGGGCTCAAAGGGGGGGAGTCACAAGTGATGATTATGACTAGGCATTTTTTCAGTGACTTCTCAGTACACTATCCGCGATAAAACTTAATGTTCGACACTTACTTGTGGTTATACAAAGTAACTGTATTATTTATTGTTAATACCAAGCTACTGACTTTGCTTTTAATATTTTCTTATAACCGTGACAAAGTAACGAACATTCGATTCGACACGATACCTTTTATTGTCTCATTATTTGTGGAATAGAAAAATAAATCGATTAAGTTGGTTGTTTTTATTTAAGACTGCACGGTTGGTGCGATGGGTGTGTAACTGGCTGCCGTGCAACGTGACGCGGGTTCGATTCCCGCACGGATTAACTCGTCGAGCACCGTATTTATAGACACAATTAAAGAACAATAGGTTGCGGTCACCGGTGACCGCTTGGTGTTTGACAGTTTAAATCTGTGTGAGCCACAGATTGTTGTTTCGGGTCTGAATGTGTTGTGTATGTGAACATGTATGTTTCTAAACGCATAATACCTATCTAATATTTAAGCAATACTAAAAATTAAATGACTACAGTAACACCTGTGACTAACTTGTAACATCATTGACGTTATGTAATTACGACAAGAAGTCTTTAAGTATTAACATAAACATTTTATTACAAGTTAATATTTTGTAACAATTTCTTAGAAACTTGTATAAATGTAGGTCTGTTACAATGTCTAGCATAGTATTGGCATTGTTCCAGTTGGGGTGATATGAACTTATCGACGTAATTCTGAGGCTTACTCAAGGTCAATAAAATGTGTCTGCATTGTCTCATGGTAAATGGGCTAAGATGCCTTAATGAGTGTTTTAATAAGATACATTTTGGACAATCTAAGACTTATTCATGGTATTTTAGTATAGTAATGCCAACATGTTTGTCTACTGCTATTAATGAAGACGCCATGTAAGGTTAAGGACTCGGCGCGGATGGGGCGGGAGGAAACGCCCGGGTGTCATCACTGCGAGGACCGCCCTGAGGACACGGTGGAACACACTGTAGCGGAATGCCCTGCGTGGGCTGAGCACCGCCGTGCCCTCAGGGCCTAGTGCAAGTCATGATGCGGAGCGAAGGGGACTGGGATGCCGTCTCCTCCTTTTGCGAAGCAGTTATGCTAGCAAAGGAGGAGGCGGGACGCGTGAGGCAGCGAAGCGCTGCCTCCTCGCAACCCAGCCATCGCGAAGGACACACACCGGGCTTCGGTGATCGCGGGACGATCTCCGGCCACTGTAAGCGCGGGCCTGCGGACGGCAAGCATGGGTGGCTCCCCGTCCGACCATAAACGATCCCGAGCGTCCTCAAAGATCCATCAGACTACCACAAATGGGGCCCAACAGGGCCGATGCCGATTCGGAGTCGCGGAGAATCTAAAGGGTTACCCGAGCTCCGGCTCGACGTGCAGGAGAAGGAACGGGGTGGTTTTTAGTCAGTAAGAGTCTGATACTCCCTGCCGCCTCACCCAGGCGGAAGCAGTCATTCGATGATTTCCCTCCCTCAAAAAAAGCCTAAATTGCTGACTTTATTACTGAAGAGAAACAAAATATCCTGTAGCCTGGTAGGATATTACATGGTCTAGCTTTTGCCAGTGAGCAGAATGTATAAGACTCATTATGAAGTTGTTAGATGAACGAGTAACAAATAAATATACATCCCCACAAACTTATAAACACTTAATATTAGTTGGTAGGATGCATGATGCATCTAAAACTTGGTAATTCATATTATTATTTAAATTTATTCAAACCTACATCAACAAAATATCAATGATAGTCATAGCATGACTAACAGCATTATAATTAGCATTTATGTAAGACATAGTGATGCAATACAAACTGCTTTCTGATATAGAGTGACTCATTGGCCCAAAAATTGTCTATTACCTCTCGTTTGTTGCCTGTATTTAGTGAGTGTTTTGAGTTGCCTGATAATAGTATTTGTTAATTACTCTGTTATTTTTAGCGGTGTTTATGGGTACAATTAAAATACCTTTTAGTTCAGTCATAGTCAATCTTTTTTTACTAGTGTTAAAATTGTGGGATCCCCGGCCGTACATGTGAAATTATTAGAACACAAATAATTTATCAATGACTTTACATATTCTTTTATTTTAAACACTAGCGACCCGTCCAGGCTTCCTTAAGAATCCCTCTATCTGTTAAAGGAAAACCGCATCAAAATCCGTTGCGTAGTTTTAAAGATCTACATATACATACATAGGGACAGACAGAGGGTGGATATCGACTTTGTTTTAGACTATGTAATGATATGCCACATATTGAATTTAACTACCGAGGATTTCGAATATTAACTAAAGTAGAATTTTACAATCTTGATAACAAGAAATGACTACTTAGTCTTTTGTCTCTTAGGTCTGACTCCCGAATCACTTGTTCTCTTATAGGTACAAAATACAAAGTAGAATAAAGTATAAGAACTTTAGGTGGGCCAATCAGAAAGGTTTATGATAATATTACCGTGTTTGAGTATAGCTGTTTTATTTGATCGATCTTAATCTGTCAAACACCGAGCGGTCACCGGTGACCGCGACCTATTGTTCTTTAATTGTGTCTATAAAACCGGTACTCGACGAGTTAATACATAATTTTAGAAATAAAATTGGTGGTAGAAGTGAAAAATTATTTGATTTAAACACAATTTTTAGAACTAATAAGCATAGTTTCGGCCAGAACACATGTACTGCAAGATTTTTATTTACATAACTGAATCACATTAGTATGTGAATTTATGGTGACAGGTTTAATGAACTTAGCTTAACTAAAGTTTAACTGTTTAACTGATCAATCCCAAAGCGGTCTCACTGATGAGCGCTCTCCACCAATTCCATTATATACCTTATTTCTAATGCTTAGAGACTACTTTTGTATGCTTACACACAATCATGGTATTCATGATTTAATCCTCTACTAATATTATAAAAATTATTGATTTTGAGATTGTAAGTTTATTATTCAAACTCAAAAACTTCTGAACAGATTTAGATGAAACTTCATATAGAGATAGATAGTCTGGAATAACATATGGGTTACTTTTAAACCAGGTATGAGACAGAAGATGTGAGCAGAACTCAGTCATATCATTAGTCACAACATAATTATGTATTTTACAGAGATGAAATCAGCTTTAAAACACTATTAAGTCATTGATTTGTGCTATCATATCCCTTGCAGTTTTAAAACTTTTATCATTTGATAAGTTTACAGTGCATTATTCATTCATACTGTAAAATCTATTTAATCTATTTGTCATATCTTATTAAAACATTTAAACAACTTGTTGAATGCTTATTGGGTACTGATTACCCACAAATCTAGTCTAACAAAATTTTTGATCAATGTAGTGAAATGTAAAAAAAAAATTACAAGATTACAGATAATTAAATAAGGTTATCTACAGATTATAACAAGCAAACGGTTTATTTACAGTGTAATAAAATGTGTAAAATTATCTATGATTTTGTTTCTTAGTAGGTAGCTGCTGTTGGACAAAATGGATGCTGTATTTCACACGGAACGTGCGGGAAGTCGCAAGCATGCCATGTACCAACAATAGACAATAGTGCGTCACGGTTTTCAAAACGGTTCTTTCACATAGACCTTAGCGACCTTGTAGTGGTTATTGAACCCAACGGGTGGGTTGTTACTCCCATACAGAATTTACACCAGTAATATACCCATTACAATATGGAAATTAGTATTAATAGAAAATTAAACTCTCTATTTCAAGTTTCAGATTCAATTCCATAAGAATTTAGGTAATGCACACTTAATAATCAAGGAACAAATTTGACACGTTCCCGTAAATTGGCTGAAACCGGCTACAGAAAAAAACTACTTACAACTCGACCATCCATTCTCCTTCAAGGATTTCTTTCCAGTTGTCTTCATTTAACTCGCGGTTGGCACTCACAAAACCAGTAAAACAACATAAAATAAATGAGAAATAAAGGAAAAAATGTAAAATTTGCGAAACCGTGTGTACGCGCGCCATGTTTGATTTTGTTGTAATGTTGCCAGGAATCAAACGAAAATTGCTACAAAATCTTTATAGAGTTTTAAATTAAAATATTACCAAATCAGTGATTGGTAGATTTATTTTAAATTTTAAAAATATGCCTTTAATATTATTAAATAGCAAACAATATACAAAAAAATTGTTGTGTTTTAGTTTTATTAAAAAAACTTTCGATACAGTATCAGTTCTGCCATCTAGCGACTTCTAGTGTAGTCTGATTGGAAGAGATTGAGCCTTATAAATTTGAGGAGAGATGTCGCTACTTGTGCTATAGATAACTATAGTTTTGGAATTATGTTTTTTCAAGAATAGAAAATTCATAAGCTTCAAATTTCTGGTTAGACGGAGCCTTACAACTACCTAACGTTAAACCTTGCAAAAAAAACTCAGCACATTGCGATTTTGGTTCGCTAATTAAGCTATTTTATTTAACTTCACGCCTATAATTCCCGAAAGGGTAATCAGAGACGCACATAAAGAATAACGGGACCAATGTAATAGTGTTGCGTATTGTATCTGGTTTCTTATTCTTGCGCGGTAGTCTTATCGGTTCCCATGTAGTGACAAAATAATCAGGTACTCTTCAAAAGCACAACACCGCATGACTGTCGGGCTATGGGCCTCCTGTACGTAAGACGATTTTGCTAAAGTCGTAGTCTAGGTATAGGGCTCGTAGTCGTACACAAAACAGCGAATTGCTGCGATTGATGCGATCACGTGCGACAAGGCGTCCTCCAAGGGTGCCCATTCCTTCGACGACCGTCAACCGTACTAAACGTATTTTAAATTGAAAACTAGGTCGTGACTCGTGACATGGATCGTAAAAAGAAGTGTGCACTTCTGTTATTGCTTAGGAAATACAGGAAAAAGAAACAATGAAGATTTTGGGAAGTAAAGACTTTGGCGCGATGCAAATCAATTTTTACCACTACGATGAGAGATTGATTATTTATTTAATTATTTTCAGCCATGATCGTCCCGCTGCTTGGGAAAAGCCTCCCACTACTCTCTATATAAAGCTTTTTGCAGCCAATCCTTGTCATTCACGTCCAGTTCGTTACGTCATCTTCTTTTGGGTATGCCGCGACGTGTATTGATGTTGAGTGGGCTCCATTCGGTAGTAAGTTTTGCCCACTGCTCGTCTGACATGCGGTAGACATGACCAGCCCAGTTGCACTTCAAGCCTATGGGTTTGTGACCAACGTCAACGTTTTTAGTCGTGGAGCACAGCGTGGTGTTCCTTAGGAGTTCGACCATCGGACAATGAGAGTGGTGGTGAAAAATACATCTACTGTCACCGCTTTCCTTTTCATATGGAAATGGGTCTGCGTTTGACTCGTATCGCCAAGCTCCGCTGGTGGTAAGCGACGATATGACCTCGAATAGGGCATAGCAACCTCGTCACTCGGGCCTTGAAGACACCCAGACACTTTTCGAGAAATACAGGCTCTGGCAAGGCAAAGGTTATTACTATGAATATATCTATCTTTATGGCAATAGACTCACCCCCTATTACATGGGACTCATAACATAAATAGTGAAAAGTGGGTGTTACATTGTACAGTGGCATTAACAATTTGAGTGCCGTCATTATAGACACAATTAAAGAACAATTTTTTTTTCAAGCGGGAAAAATCATCGAATGACTGCTCCCGCCTGGGTGAGGCGGGAGGGAGTGTCAGACTCTTACTGACTAAAAACCACCCCGTTCCTTCTCCTGCACGTCGAGCCGGAGCCCCGGTTACCCGTTAGGTTCTCCGCGACAATTAAAGAACAATAGGTTGCGGTCACCGGGGTCCTCGCGGTGTTTGACAGTTTAAGTGCAGTAATGCACCTGTGTCTATTCCTTCGGGGGAAGAAGGCGTGATGTTGAGTATGATTAGCTATATTAAACCTAGTTCACTACGTTTGTATATAGATCGTTAAAAAACCGTCCGTCGGCCAGTGTTGTGCTTATCGACAACGGTGTCGATGTCGCATTGCTAGGGCTTCCCTACTGGCTTCGTCTACTATCGATCGGCGGTACGTGCTCCGATATATTGTTATGTTCAAACTCTAGTGTTACGGGTATCAGCTGGTACTCACGTAACTGTTTTACGTCATGAAGGATTAGAAAAAATACCTATATTTTGATTTTCCATAGATAGACTGCTTCTACATAAAATCACGCCTTTTATTCCCGAAGGGGTAGGCTGAGGTACAATGTAACATCCACTTTAGACTATATATGTTATGAGTCCCATGTAAGCCTATCGTCGTACACCGGGCACAATTCCAGATTCCGTGCTACTACTGAGAATTTTTTTTAAAACCCAATAATACTTTGCCCGACGCGGGAATCGAACCCGAGACCCCTTGCCCGGCAGTCGCACTGGCGAACCCTCGGGCAATGAGGTAGTCTGTTTCTTTGACCACTAACGCGCCTGATGATGCGATGATGTGGACTACGAAGGAGCATGTTTGCTCATAAGCAATCTTATAAGTGACTTGAGGACACCCGAGTAGTACTTTCTGAAAACACACTCTCTGGAAAGCAATTTCTTTACTTACCATTGGTTAAGTGGTTGCAAATTCCCAGTAGTACCTACCACAGAGTTTGAGGTTGTAGTTGCTACATGACAATAGGCTCGCGTCCTTATACGCGAGATTTGCTTGAAACTGGTAAAAGAGGGTGCTATGTAATTCAAATTCAAATTCAAATTCTTTATTGCGTTCTTCGATCAACAATAGCAACATTGCGTTCCACAATGTTTTACTTAGTAACATAATAATACAGTTCATTGTGGACCCTGTCGGGCATAGCAAGGAAATATATAAGTAATAATTATAATACAAAAAAGGTACCTACGGCGTTCATATTGTGTTTTTTTTTAATTAGCTTTTGTGGCAGTTGCAGTAAAATTATTTTCATTACTAAGAAGTAATGAGAATTAGGTACTTTCACTTTCACTTTCAACACAATAAAATATTGCAAAATAATCACACTTTCATGAATTGATTTTATGACCAACTTAATTTTTGTATTTTTCTAGCAAAATTTTAAGAAATAAGTATGCTGTTTGACGCTAAAATAAAGTGACGTCACAATACGCAATCTTGTAAAAAATTCATAGAAATATATGTCGTTTTTGACAGTTCGAAAAAAGTATTGAATTTGACTAGTTGGTAAGTACCCAATTCTAAATTCAAAATGGAATGTTTACCGTTTCTACTAGTAGTTAATTGGTTTTGTGTCATTAAATAAAATAGGTACTTATTTTTTCTTTGTCTTGATTATAAGCTTAGCCTATTTTTTATATCTTATTCAGTTCCCACGTTAAAAACACATAGGTAATTAGTTAAATCGGTAATTGATCCAGTTATTTAGACATGTAAAATGATGCAACAAATCCAATTTCGTTTTAATTATTATTCGATATGAATAAGTTCAAAATAAATTGGTGACAGAAACCATTCAACTGTCCGATCTTAATTTTAAACCGCAATTAAATGCAACTACAAAATTTGAAACTAGAATAAAATTAATAAGAAAAAAATAAGGATTTTATTACATTCTATCGTAGCGTATAAGCATTTAAATAAATAAAATAGATATCGATCAAATCCACCGTGACAGTTGTCAAACATCAAAATATTTTACGCGCGCTTTTTTGTGATACGCAGTCTATGGTCAGGGCTGACTGTAATGGAATTATGTAGGGCTGGCATTTGTACGTTTGCCTAATTAATTTAATTTAAATTGACGTTGAGCGTAATGAAGTGCATTCGATATTAATTAGAGGAGGTCGGTAATGTTTATTGGCTGGTAATTTTGCTATGTCTGTTAGATTATTCAATTGAATTATAAAGGTGTTGCCAAAGGCTATCATGCGGCACTTCAGTTATTTCAATAATAGACAATGTATGAGCTTTTCCAAAACGTTCGAATGTAATGTTCTGTCCGTTTGGGATGCTGCTGAGGTCAATTTGAAATGATTAAAAAACGAGTACATGATCCATAATATTATGATACTAAAAATCACGCATTGACAACCCTAACATCTGCCCCAGTTTCGTTCGAAATTCGAACGCAGCCGTCCTGTCTATGAGCGTTTTATTTTTTCAATTTTCAAATATCGAACGAATGGAAGCTTCAAATCAGTTGTTTATTTTCATAAGTATAATGGCATTGTTTGTGGACAAGATTATTTCGTATCTAGATCAATATGGCGTATTTATTTATTTTTATTTTTGAGTGTTTGATACAACAACGGAGTTTTTGTCGATGACTATGCATTTTAACATTTACTGGACCGCTGAGAATTTGATTTGGTGATATTTTTTTGCTGGGTAGATACTCCGTTTCGATTCGTAAGTCAGGAAAAGTAAAGAAGCTATGTTAGATTTATTGGTAATTAGTTGAACCAGTAGCTATACTCTTACTTATTATTGCATATTGCTGGGTCGTGTTATTCATGGCTATTTCTTGCTTTCCTGTAAGTACTTGTAAGTAGGCACCTGCAAAGTATCTGGTTGAAAAATTAATTTAGATATCTGGGAAAATAATGAAAAATAAACCCACTCCCTGCCTACCACTTTCTGTAATAAGAACATAAACTATAAAAGTTATGTTATCAAAACTAAAAAGTTTAAAATATTTGCCAAGTCATATTTCGATTCAATGGTATCATAGATAACATGTTGGTCCAATACCTTTGCCCGTTATAAAAACATTAGATCTGATCTATGGTCGCTGCTAGTCACGAGATTATCATTGTGTGGTCTGTGTCTGTGACGTGTGACGTCATTGGAGGGAATGCTTCAAAGTCAAAGTCAAAGTCAAAGCATTTATTTCAATTAAACCATAGTTTGGTACTTTTGAAACGTCAACAAATACAAAATAAATAATAGTCTGTCAGTCAGTCCGTCAGTGAATCTAGGTGAAGATGGGTGCTCATTCCAAAAAGTAGATTCGAATGGAGAAGAACGAGCAAGAA